GATTTCTCAGAAGAAGTGTCAACTCTGCTGGGTTTGCAAGACTGGACAGAAAGCAGACAGGAAAGATGCCGCACAAACAGAGGCACGGCTGAGTGCTTCACATCTAGGGACTGGCCTGCTCCTTGGGTGGGAAGGAGTGATCTACTGCGAGGAAGCTGATCCAGTCTCAAAGGCCTCCTGGCGTCTGATAAGGTGCAAGTTTTGCACGGAGGCTGAAAGCAGTCTGAGGAGGATTTTAGCTGGGGCTGATGCCGTGTGTCGGGAAGGGTTCTCCCCTCACGGCATCCTCATTTCCCCAAACTACTGAGAACTTGGTACTTGCCAGGCCAGCTCATGTTCTGCAGGCCGGGAGCTTTTCCAGGCATTTGATGGGATTGATGATAACAAGGCTGGGAGCCAGGAAAAGAAGTGTAAGAGTGGGGATTCAGGCCTTCCTTGGCCTCTGGGCCTCCCTGAACTGGCTCGGCCTCCAAGAATCATTTTTTTTTTCTCAAGAATCATTTTTGATGAGAGATTCTGGGAAGCAGGCCATTGCCAAGGCCAAGTAAACTCCTGAAGGAATGGAAGGAGCCCAACAGTAGAAAGAGTAATGGCCTCACCAGTTTTCCCCTCCTCAGTGGGGTGGGCCGGATGTCCTGCCCCGCCCGGTGCAGGAAGCCCCCTCAGCCTGCACTCCTTCCTCTGGGCTCCAAAGTCCCTACTCCTCCCAGCTAGGGCTCTGGCGACTGCCTTGGGGGAGGGGATGTCCCCTCAGTTGTAAAGTTAGACCTGGGGGTGGGGGTGGAGGGTCGGGGGTGGGGGGTAGGGGGAAGTGAATGTTGGAGCAGCCTCAGAGGCTCTCATTCCTATCCTCTTCCTCAGCCAGGCATCAAGGTGTGTAGTGTAGTAGGCAGTTGGACAGACATGAGCACAGCAAGGACGATGGGCCAGGTACAGAAGGTCACCAGGGTGGCAGGCCCCAGGTGCCTAGCAATGGACAACCAATTGTAGGGTGGGACCTCACCCAGGGTGACTTTTCCTCCCCTAGCATATCGCTGGTCACACAGTTTGGACCCCCTGACCTTTCCTCCTTAGAGGTAACATTTTTGCCTCAGTTGTATCTTAGCACCACACCTGTTAGGTCTGATCAAATAATTGATACCCTTTCCCCTGGGAAACTGACCTTTAGATCATTTCACAACCGACATTCCCTTTTGCTTAGGCCACATTCCATTTGCTAAGACCATCATCTTTCCCCTTCCGACTTGCCCAGGATCAGGACCCGCAGAGAAAGCCCGCCTGGAGTCCTTTAAAACTTCTAGCCTGACCAGCCAGAGTGGCTCAGTGGTTGAGCATCAGTCTATGAACCAGGAGGTCACAGTTCAATTCCTGTTCATGTCCGGGTTGCGGGTTTGATCCCTAGTGTGGGTTGTGCAGAAGGCAGCCGATCAATGATTCTCTCTCATCATTGATGTTTCTATCTCTCTCCCCCTCTTCCTCCTCTCTGAAATAAATTAAAAAATACATTAAACAGAAGAAAACCAAAAAAAAAACCCAAACAGCCCTAACCGGTTTGGCTCAGTGGATAGAGCATCGGCCTTCGGACTCAAGGGTCCCAGTTTCGATTCCGGCCAAGGGCATGTACCTTGGTTGCAGACACATACCCAGTTGGGGAGTGTGCAGGAGGCAGCTGATCGATGTTTCTCTCTCATCGATGTTTCTCTCTATCCCTCTCCCTTCCTCTCTGTAAAAAAAAAAAAAAATCAATAAAATATATATTTTTTTAAAAAAAATAAATTAAAAACAAAAACAAAAAAAACCCCAAACAAACAAACCTCTGACTGCCTGGTCCCTGGCTGCTGGCACCATTTTGGGGCTCAGCCCATCTGGTTTTCCAGATGACCTAATGCATTTATAATTGTTTACCACTTTTGGCCTCATGCATTCCTCCTTCAGTGACCCTAACACACCCAGATAAGCAACAAAAGCAGCCACAGCTGATGTCAGGAGGCAGCTGATCGATGTTTCTCTCTCATCGATGTTTCTAACTCTCTATCCCTCTCTCTCTTCCTCTCTGTAAAAAATCAATAAAATATATTTTTAAAAAAGAGAATGGATTGGTTCCTTTCAAGGTGAAGAATGCTTACAGTCTGGTCACCCTGAGGAGGAGGCAAGGTCCACATACGTCCTTGTAGCAATCACTGACCCAGATGTTTGTCTTGGCCTTGAGCTGAGTATAGCAACATGTCAGCAACTTAACAAAAATTCCAAGAACTGAGACATGAAACATGCATAGGCCTCACCTCCTTAATGATCCCCCGACTCCATTTTAACTGACTCTCTTAGCAAGGCTTGTTCTATTTTATTTTCCCCATTGTCAGGAGGAGAAGAGGAAATCCAAAGCTCGTCACTCAAATACCAACTTAAAGTAACTTGGCAACAAGGTAAAGGCCAGAGAGGGATTGCGGCCGACTAGAAGGGGACCTGGGGCCATTGGAAGATGTGATCTGTGGCTGGAAAATCAACCATTTGCTGAACACCCAAAGCATTTGGGTGTTAATCCCAGAAGAGACTAGATTGGAAGGAAATGCAATTGGACTCAAGTATTTTATTTCGCAACAGAAAATAGTTTGGGCCCTAGACAGATCTTCCTAACAGTGACAAATGAGGTAAAGGAAGCTGTGACATCCTTGTTTCTGGGAAGTTTAAAACTCAACCGGCAGATGTCCCCAGCGTGGCCTGGTCTACAGCAAGAGACAGAGAAATGACCTCCAGCTGCCCCTCTCGTGCCTGGGAATCCGGTTAGGCAGTCGTGAGTGTTCTGGACCAGCAGCAGAACACCGATTAATTAGCCAAAGGGAGCCTCTCTCTGCTCTGCACTAAGCTTTTTATGTTCTGCCATCAACCACAGCTTTAATTAAATCCAGGGCTTAATTACCACAGTGCAGTGCTGCCATCACTCTCTCCTGATGACTTTATCTTGGATCCTGGAAGGATGGTGGTGACGACAGTGTATCAGGAGGAGAGATGAGCCTAAAGAAGCCTAAAGCACAGACTCTGAACACTGGTGATTTGAGGGTCCACGGGGTGGGCAGGTGGAAGGATCAGCTGTAGGACCCAGCACCTGACCTCAAGTTGCTCATAATTTATTGCAAAGTTAAAGCTTTCTACCTAGGTCCTAGGAGATGGCACAAGGCAATCTATAATAATAAAAGCGTAACATGCTAATTAGACCAGACAGCCGAACAACCTTCTGGACACAGCTGGGGCTGCTGCCAGGGCCAAGGCAAGCTGTCGCATTGTGGCTGCGAGGGCCAAGCCCCTTGCATGAATTTCGTGCATCGGGCCTCTAGTGTGAAATAAGCCCCCAAATGAGAGGCACACACAAATATCCCAGAAACTGAGAGGGAGGAGAGACCCTTTGGGACTGGAAGGATCAGGGAAGCGTCATGGAAAGTGAGGACCTAGAGGAATTTTCAGGGAAGAACAGGATTATACAAGGCAGCAGGCAGGGCAATGTACCTTGTGGAGGGAAGAGCATGAGTATGGAAGTAACGATGAGAACCTGATAATTCTTGAGAATGACGAGGAGGGAAGTTTAGGTGGGAACAGAGCAGAGCAGAAGAGAAGGGATTCCTGTCAAAGATGAGCATGAGCAACACTTTTGGAGAAGGTGGGCGACAGGTTGGGAAAGGCCTTGAATGCCAGGCTAAGAAGTTGGGACCTCATTCAGTAGGTAGTAGGAAGCCATTGAAAGTTTTTGAGCTGCTTGAATGATCCAAATGTCTTTTTGTTTTAACTTTATTTCTTTTTACAATATTTTTGGAAGTCCATGTTGTTTTTTAAATATGTTTTTATTGGTTTTTAGAGAGAGAGGGATAGAAATATTGATGAGAGAGAAACATCAGCAATTGGCTGCCTCCTGCACACCAACTACTGTGGATTGAGCTCACATGAGCCCTGACCAGGAATTGAACCCGTGACTTCTTGGTTCATGATGTTCAACCATTGAGGCACACTCGCTGGGCTTAACTATTTTTACTATTTTTACAGATGTCCTCTTCCCCCCACCCCCACCAAATTTCTTATGAAAGCTTACAAGAGTCTTGAGGATGTGGTCCTGCCTATTCCTCAGATCTCTCTCTCTCTCCCTCTCTCTCTCTACATTTTATCCCCCGCTTTGTGCTCTAGCGGAGTGTAAACGTTCTTCACACTCCTTGTATTCCTACATTCTATTCCTTCAGTTTTCAACTTTAACCTTTCTAAGATCTCTAAGAAGCCTTGCTGACTTCATTTCCCCTTGGGAAGGTACCACCTTTCAAGGCTCCCACAACCCGCCGAGTTTCCCCCATTCTAGTACATATCACTGCGTTGTAATTATTTGTTGGAATCCTCTGCTGGACTGTGAATTCTTTTGAGGCTGCGGATGCCATATTGCTCACCAGTGTTTCCCTAAGTACCAGCACAGAGCCAGCAGGGTAGGGAGGATGGAGGGGCCGGGGCTCGGGAGGACCCGTGATCTCTCACGTTTCTCTCGTTCCTGGAGAAGGACAATAGAAAGTTACTGCAGTCAACAGGTAAAGGTTGGTAGGAAATGCGCACTTTACCTGAATGATCAGTCTCTTATTCTCACAGGCAACAAAGCTGGGGCGGGGGGAAACGAAACAAGTTCCCACCTCCCTAAAAATAAAGTGAAGCCACGCTATTTCTCGCCACGCCTGGGAATTATTGAAGGAACAATGAGGCTGACGGTTGCTAATAGGACTAAATGCAGAAACCTCCGCTCGAGCCTTGTAACCACGGAGGTGGCTCCTTGACCACCAGGGGGAGGAATTGCATCGCATCGCGGGCCTTGGGCGGTTTCTCCCAACGACAAAGGGCCGCGTAGAACTATGGGAATTGTAGTCCTAGGGTAGAAATGCGCGATCTTGCGCGGTGCACCACGGGAATTATAGTTCGGGAAAGAGAGGCGGGAAATGCTTTTAAGTACCAATGTTGAGTTCTAGAAACTACAACTACCACAGGGCCATGAGCTCCTGGGCAGTTTCTCGGTTCCGTCGAAGTGACCGTCTGGGCTGCTTCTGAGAGGTCAACTTGACTGGGTAAGTTGGAGAGGGGGAAGCTCCGATTCTGAACGGAGGTGTCAGCAGACTTTTTCATATCCCCGCCCGGTATGGTGCTCTTCGTCTCATCCCAGGAACTTCATATTAACGTCTCGTCCTTTCTGGTTCCTATTCCGACGCCTCCAGTAGCCACCCACACCCTTAACTCTCCCACTGTCTTCTCCAGCCGTCACTCCCGGCTGAGGACCCAGCCCCCACAACCCCACCCTGAGCCCCCAGCTTCACCTCTCCGAAACCTGGGCTTCACGCGCCACACCTGTGCGCTTCACTGACCCTCACTTTGCTGTTTCGCATGCTAGTGGGAGAAGGCTCGCCATTGCTTCTCCGTCCGGGGAACGCCCGGCAGGACTGGAAGTCCGCAGACCCGGGTTCCCGTCCAGCCCCGCAGCTCACTCGCGGAGCGACCTCCGGCAAACCAGCCTTCCCTGGGACTCACTTTCTCCATCTACCAAACGGAGATGAATGACAGTTGCGCCCTCACTCTTAGGATGAGGCTGCGTGGTGCAGCCAATGGGCTAGTATGTGTGAAGGTGCTATGTAAACTGTAAAGCCTCCACAGGCGAGGGGGGTTATTTTTATTAGAATTATCAAGGCTCTGGAACAGTCCTATCTTGGCTCCTTGTTTAGCTCTGCCCCCTTGTTGCTCAAGCCTGTCCCCCGAGTGCGCAGGATGGAGTTTCCTCACTTCCTCCAGAGACCAAAGGTCAGGCTAACGAGCTCTGAGTCTCCAGAGAGCTTTCCCTGAAAGGCAGCTCCGAAGAAGTGCTTATCTTGGACTCGGTCCTGAAATAGTTGGAGATGAGCAGTCCACCCAGCTGGCGGAGGGAGGCTTCTGCTCACTGGGAACAGGGCCCCGGCGGGAGATGGACAGCTGCAGCATCGGCCCTATCCCTTCCCTCTCGGTTCTTCTGGGCCTGTTCTGTAGATTGTGGTCTTGGCAGGGCTGTCTCCGGCGGGAAAAGGCTGGGAGGAAAGAATGCATTTTGCCAAAGACTTTAATCCAGAAAAAAATCAGAGACCTTGGTTTGGTATGATAAAAGAGAGACATAGCATTGTTAATTAATTCCTAACATTTTATAAGCACTTAAAATGTACCAGGCCTATGCAATATTAATTTGAAAAAATATTTTTATTGACTTAAGAAGGGAAGGGAAAGGGAGAGAGAGATAGAAGCATCAATGATGAGAGAATTATTGATTGGCTGCCTCCTGCACGCCTCCTGCTGGGGATTGAGCCCGAAACCCGGGCATGTGCCCTTGACTGGAATCGAACCCGGGACCCTTCAGTCCGCAGACCCATGCCCTATCCACTGAGCCAAACTGGCTAGGGCTCAATATCAATTTTTTAATTTAAGTTTTACTATGCCCCCATTTTACATAGAAGGAACTTAGGCTCAAAGCGTTCATGTGGTTATAATGATAGAGCTACCATTTATGGTTATAGTGCCTTCTACATATTATTTACATATATTTAATTTACATATATTATTTAATTTAATCCTCATCTACAACTTCATGAGTAATCATTATTTCTATCATGTGGTTAAATTATCAGAGGCCTAGAATTTAAGGAACTTGCTCAAGATTACACAGCCAATTAAGTGGCAGAGGTGGAATTCAAACTTCACCAAAGCCTTTCTTTCCTCACTATAACATATAGCCTTACTTTTAGATAAAAAGAGATTAAAAAATTGAGAGGGTTTAAAACAAAGCCTCACAGAGGGACATTTTTTTGGGGTCCCTAATAGATGGAGAAAGCATGGAGATAGGTGTTTTGGCCTGAAAAGAAACTACAAAACAGTCTTTACCTCTGTAGTATATCTGAAGAGATAAGGCATAAGTATGTAAAAAATTTAAATAGCATTTTATTTGGATAAATGAATTATTGAAGCCTGTTATTACAGGGCACCTTACCTTTAAGCCTAGTGACTAGCAAGGTATATGTTTCTGGGGGCTATGGGAATTAAACCCAGTGAAATCATAGTAATCATTTTCATTAATTTGAAAATGAACTGGAACACTCAGAAATGGTGGCAGGACACGTGTCTGAATAAAGAAAAATCCCGGTGTACCAACTGAACCAGAGGTTCTCGAAACCTTGCTAATCAGAAACACTCGGAAAGCTTTTAAAAATTACTTGACTTCTGGGAATGGGGGCCCTAAAATCTCTGTATTTGAAGAGCGGTTCCCAGATGATTGTGATGATAGGTTCAGGAACCTCTGATCTAGATTCTACTTGGGCCACTTGCAGGCAAGTCACTGCTAGAAAACTGCTAGAATAAGTACTAATGTAAGAACTGTCATAAGGCAGCCTGTGATTGGTTACCAGGGGGGCTGCAGACAGTGCCTAGACTTGAGAGGAGAGAAGGTGGTAAGGACTTGGGGAAGCTTCAGAGAAGACCAGGGATTTCATGGGCCTTGATGAATGGGGTAGGTTTGAAAGGGCAGAGAGTCTTCTAGGCACCACCATGAATTGTTTAGATAAAGTGAGCAAAAGAAGATAGAGACACCTGGGCTGGTTTCCTTGGAAAATTCTGTAGCAATTACTAGAAATGACTGGATGCTCTTTGTGGATGTTTCTTAGGCAAAATTTGCAAGTCAGATTGGATTTTTCCATCTCTCCATTCTACTTGGGCATTAGTCAGTGTGAGCCCAGAGAATACAGAATCATTTTTATGTTAGTTTCACCGTGCCCAGTTAGCTTCTTTATTTTTTTAAACTGTTTTTATTGATTTTTTAGAGAGAGAGGAAGGGAGAGGGATAGAGAGATATAAACATCAATGAGAGAGAAACATCATCGATCACCTGCCTCCTGCATGCCCACTATAGGGACTTGAGCCTGCAACCTGGGTATGTGCCCTGACCAGGATTCGAACCAGTGACCTCTTGTTCCTGGATTAATGCTCAACTGCTGAGCTATACTGGCCCGGCTAGTTTTTTATTTCCAAACTTAATTTAGTTGATAACCTTCCCCAGAACTTTCCAGGAACCCCAAAGGATTCTACCCTCCTGGTTAGCTGCTTGTAAGTCCACTCATTCTGATTCCAATCCCAAGCACTGTTCTCTGTGGGGTAAGACCAAAATCTCTTCCCATAAGAAGCTGCTATCATTCTACTTAATCCTGAAACCTGACTCATAGTTGGCTCTTTCTTCTCCCTTGACTCCCCAAATCCACTCAGTTGCCAATGCTTATTTCCACTTTTCAGTCAATCAATAGATATTTCCTGGATACTTTCTAAGAGCCAAGTAATACACTAGGTACTTTAAATGCATTATTTCATTTATCCCCATAGCAACCCTATGAAGGTGGGTAGTATTCTCATTGTACAGATGGGGAATCGGGCTTAGAGAGATCGGATAAACTTGCCCAAGGTAAGAAAGCTAGGCAGCAAAAGAGCTAGGGCTCAAACTTGGGTTTTTCAGACTTCATCTCATATCTACGTCCTCATTTCCGGAGCTGATTCCAACTCCTTAATCTTGAGGGACTGCTACCCTCCAGATCTGATCACACCATCCATTTCTCACCTGGCATCCTTTCCTCATTCCTCATTTCTCCTGTGCATTCTTACCTCTGTGCCTCTGCTCACACTTTTTTCTACCTGAAAGTCAACTTTTTCCACCATCCTCCTCCACTCCCGAGCTAAAGGAGCTCTCTTTCTGAGAACTCCTGCACTGTCTTATCTGACCCTCTTTTATGGCAGTTAGAACTTTCTGCTGCTTCATTGTCGTGTGGGTGACATGTGTCTTGTGCCCTGTGTAGGTCTTCCTCTTGTATGCCGTCAACAACAAGGGGAAAGGTCATGTCTGAGACCAGCACACTAAGCAGCACACATTCAATTTCACTGGCTACATAGTCCACTGATTGCATCAGTCATTTCTGAAATAGGTAGCCATAGTCCATTCCTGCACGCGCCCCATCTGGCCTGGGGATCAAACCTGCAACCCAGGTACAAGCCCTTAGCTCAGCTTCTTAAAAAGAATTGGGTTTACTTTTAAATTGGCTTCAGAGAAAGGAAGTCTATAGTAGAAAAGAAATCATTTATTACCTTCCAAAGTTAAAAAGATTGACACTAGGATTATTGGTTGTTTGGGGTTTTCCACTGGACCAGACAGTTGGCAGTCAGATCTATGTGTGATAATAGTTCTGCTTGTGACCTTGAGCTGCTCACTTAACCAAGTAGGACCTTGATTTCTTCATCAGGAAAGCACGTGTAGGTTACTGGGCCGGTGGGGAGGTGGGGGAGGGCGAAGATGATTGTGGGGAGGATTGATGAAAATTATCTCTAAGGTTGTTTCTCCTTCTCCTTCTTCTTCTTCTTCTCCTCCTCCTCCTCCTCCTCCTCCTCCTCCCCCTCCCCTCCCTCTCCTCCTCCTTCTTCTTCTCTTCTTCTTCTTCTTTTTCTTCTCCTCCTCCTCCTCCTCCTCCTCCTCCTCCTCTTCTTCTTCTCCTCCTCCTCCTCCTCCTCCTCCTCCTCTTCTTCTTCTCCTCCTCCTCCTCCCCCTCCTCCCCCTCCCCCTCCTCCTCCTTCTTCTTCTGCTCTTCTTCTTCTTTTTCTTCTTCTCCTCCTCCTTCTCTTCCTCCCCCTCCTCCTCACCCAAGGAAATTTTTTTCATTGACTTTTTAAAAAATATAATTTTTATTGATTTCAGAGAAGAAGGGAAAGGGAGAGAGAGATAGAAATATCAGTGATGAGAATTATTAATCGGCTGCCTCCTGCATACCACCTACTGGGGATCGAGAGCCCGCAACCCAGGCATGTGCCCTTGACCGGAATTGAACCCGAGACCCTTCAATCCCCAGGCTGACGCTCTATCCACTGAGCAAAACTGGATAGGGCTCCATTGACTTTTAGAGAGAGTGGATGAGAAGGAGGGAGTGGGCGGGGGGAGAGAGAGAGCGAGAGAGAGAAACAGAAACATTGATGTAAGAGAGACATTGATTGGTTGCCCCCTGCACGCACCCAATCTGGCCTAGGGATCAAACCTGCAACCCAGGTACATGCCCTTGACTTGGAATTGAACCCATGATCCTTTGGTGCATGGGCCAGCACTCTAACCACTAAGCAATACCTGCCAGGGCTAAGGTCTCTTATTGCTTTGACTTGAACTTTCTTTTCTTCTTCTTTTTTTTTTATGACTTGAACTTTCTGATCCACCTCAGAGCATCTTTAAAAAAGCAGAGTAATGTAATGATTAAAAATGTGGGCTTAGGGCCCGGCTGGTGTTGCTCAGTGGATGAGCATCGACCTATGAACCAGGAGGTCACGGTTAGATTCCTAGTCAGGGCACTTGCCTGGGTTACAGTGTGGAGCGTGCAGGAGGCAGCCAATCAATGATTCTCTCTCATCATTGATGTTTCTCTTTCTCTTTCCCTCCCTCTCTGAAATTAATAAAAATATATAATAAACAAACAAATAAGTAAAATAAAAAGATGTGGGCTGAGGACTGGACTCAGTGTATCAGTTTAAATGTGTGTGTTTTTAATTGATATCAGAGAGAGGAAGGGAGAGGGAGAGGGAGAGAGAATCATCGATCACCTGCCTCCTGCACACCCCCTACTGGGGTTAGAGCCCAAAACCTAGGCATGTGCCCTGACTAGGAATCCAAGCATGACCTTCTGGTTCATGGGTTGATGCTCGACCACTGTGCCACAGTGGCTGGGTGTCAGTGTATCAGTTTAGATGCTTTTGGTTCAAGCAATAGAAATCTAAACTCAGTTGGTTTAAACAAAAAAGGGGATTTATTTATTTATGTAACTGGAAAGTCTAGGATTGGGTCAGGCTTCAGGTGTAGTCAAATCCAGAGATTCTTAATGCTTGCACAAATGTGACCATTTCTCTGATTCTCTTAGCTCTGCCATCCTCTACAGGTAGCTTCATCCTCAACGTAGCAAAGTGGCTGCAACACACAGTTCAAGGCTTTCATATCTGCACATCACTCTAGTTCAAAACAAGGACTTTCCCACCTTTCACCATCAAACCAAAGTCCTGGGCTTCACTCTGATTGGCTCAACTTATGTGACCCGGGGATACCAGGGCTGATTGGCTCAGGTCAATGAAGACCCAACTCTAGAGGTTAGGGATAGGTCAGAATGGATATTGAGAGTGTGACGATCCTCTCCACAGTGACAGCCATATTACCCATGATCAGATTCTGGTTTTGCTAACTGTATGTTCTTAGATAGATTACCAACTTTATCATGCATCATTTTTTTCATCTGTAAGATGAGATAACAGTATCTCAGAGGATTGTTGAAAGGATTCAATTAAATAATTCATGTAAAGCATTTAGTGTAGCTCCTGGCACAAAGTATAATGATGACGGTGCTGGTGGTGATGAGATTGAAGAGGGACAGGGAGCAATAGCATTGGCCCCGATGCAGAAGCAGCCAAGTTATAGGAATGTCTTCTAGGCAGAAGCGTGTGCAGCTGCCACATTGAAGGCTCCCGGTTGAACTACTGCCCCCACCGTACTCTTTCCTATTTCTGCCCCATTTTGCTCTTTTTTTATGTCCTGTCTAGAAATGCTTTTCTTTTTCTTCCCTGCCTCTAGTCTTCCTTATGTTTCAAGGCCCAGCATAAGTGCCACCTTTATAGCCAATAGTTTAGGTCAGTGATTCTGTAAATATACAGTTGGCCCTTGAACAATGTGGGGGTGGGGGTGGGGGCTGGGGTAGGGCTACCAACCTCTCATGTAGTCAGAATTCATGCACAGCTTTTGACTCCCTCAAACTCAATTACTGTTGTGCCTCAGTATCTGCAGGGGATTGGTTCCAGGAGCCTAGCCCCTTCCCCACGGACACCAAGATCTGCAGATGCTCAAGTCTCTTATATAAAACTAGAGGTCCGGTGCACAAAAATTTGTGCACTGGGGGGCGGGTGGGGAAGAAGGGGTCCCTCAGCCCATCCTGTGCCCTCTCGCAGTCTGGGACCCCTCGGGAGATAATGACCTGCTGGCTTAGGCCTGCTCCCGGGTGGCAGAGGGCAGGCCCAATCCCTAGGTGCAGCCCCTGGTCGGGCTCAGAGCAGGGCCGATTGGGGAGTTGGGGCGCTGCCCCCTGTCATGCACAGAGCAGGGCGGATCGGGAGGTTGCGATGCCACTCCTAGTCACGCTCAGGGTACGGCCGATTGGGGGGTTGGGCACCGCCCCCTGTCACACTCAAGGCAGGGTCGATAGGGAAGTTGCAGTGCCACCCCCTGTCACGCACAGAGCAGGGCCGATCAGGGGGTTGGGGCGCTGCCCCCTGTCATGCACAGAGCAGGGCCCATCAGTGGGGTTGGGGCTCCGTACCCTGTCACACACAGAGCAGGGCCGATCAGGGGGTTGAGGAGCTCCCCACTGTCACGCACAGAGCAGGGCCCATCAGGGGGTTGGGGAGCTCCCCGCTGTCACACACAGAGCAGGGCCCATCAGGGGGTTGAGGAGCTCCCCCCTGTCACTCCCAGAGTAGGGCCAATAGGGGAGTTGGGGCACCACCCCCTGTCACCCACAGAGCAGGGCCGATCAGGGGGTTGGGGCGCTGCACCCTGTCACACACAGAGCCGCAGGGCGATCAGGGGGTTGGGGAGCTCCCCCCTATCAGGCACAGAGCAGGGCTGATCAGGGGGTTGGGGCGCCTTCCCCTGTCACGAACAGAGCAGGGCGGATAGGGAGGTTGTGGCCCCGCCCCCTGTCACACACAGAGCCGCAGGGCGATCAGGGGGTTTGGGCGCTGCCCCCTGTCACGCTGATCCCAGTGCCGGGAGGCCTCGCTGCTCCGCTGATCCCGGTGCTGGGAGGCATATTACCCTTTTACTATGTAGAATAGAGGCCTGGTGCACGGGTGGGGGCCGGCTGGTTTGCCCTGAAGGGTGTCCTGGATCAGGGTGGGGGTCCCCACTGGGGTGCCTGGCCAGTCTGGCTGAGGGGCTGAGGGCCGTTTTCAGGCTGGCAGGTGACTGAAGCTCCCAACCGCTCCTTTTTTTCTTTTTCTTTTTTTATTCTGGGCCAGCTTTAGCTCTGAGGCCTCGGCTCTGGCCTTTGTTTACCTTCTGTATTTGATACAATGTTGTGGTCTGGCTGGCTGAAGCCCGGCTGACAAAAGCCGGTTTCTGGGGTTTTGTTTAGCTTCTATATTTGCAACATATTGCTTAGAGTTGCAGCTGAGAGGCCGGCAAGTCACGCGGGGAACGTTGGAGTCCGCCGTCACTGGAGCAAGCAAGCCTCCCTGTTCGCTTCAGTGCATGGCTGCCGGACGCCATCTTAGCTGGCAGTTAATTTGCATATCACCCTGATTAGCCAATGGGAAGGGTAGCGGATGTACGGCTAATTACCATGTTTCTCTTTTATTAGATAGGATGTGTAAAACAATGCACACAGTCAGCCCTCCCATCTGCAGATTCCCAAGCACAGATAGAAAATGTTGTGTTTGATCTGTGGTTGGTTAAATCTGAGGATGCAAAACCCAGAGAAATGGAGGGTCAACTGTATATTTATTGGGAAAAAAAAATCCAGGTATAAGCGGACCTGTGTGGTTCAAACCCATGTTGTTCGAGGATCAGTAAGGGTTAAGAGCTCAGGTCTGGATTAGACAGACCTGTGTTTTGCCACCTGTAAGCAGTGTGGCTTGGGCATGTTGTTCAACTTCTCTGCCTTATTTTCCTCATCCCTAAAACAGGGTCTTGGTAATTAAGTACCTTCTTCAGACGTTTGTTGAGAATGAAATGATGTAGTATATGTAAAGATCTTAGTTCAATGCTGACACAGTAAATAATATGTCTAAGTGGTTATTATTCTTTGCCTCATGAGGACAAGGTTTGTGTTAAATTCTCTACAGCAATTGCGTCTCCTTACCGCCCCCTCACCCATCAACAACAACAACAAAATCTTGGCAAAGGCAGTGTAGCAAAGAGATGATGTGAAAGATGGAAAGAGCCACACTGGCAGGGAGATGGGGTGATAAGGAGGGGTGGTCAGGGGTGGCAGACGACACACATAAGCAACAGGAAGCTAAGAGGGAACCAGCGAGAGCTTGTTCTGTGTTCCACTCTCCAGCATCAAGGTCAGCCCTGCCCGAGCCGTTCGATTCGACTGGAGACGAGATGGGGGTCAACCAGTCCGTGGGCTTTCCGCCTGTCACAGGACCCCACCTGGTGGGCTGCGGGGATGTGATGGAGGGCCAGGGTCCCCAGGTAAGTGTCTGCAGCTCCATCCCGGGCACCTACACTGCTTCTGCCTGCAGTGTGACTTATCGATAGCCAGGCTGATGGGGAGGAAACTGAGCTAGAGCTGGTCTGGATCCGGTTATAGAGCCCCCAGGTCTGTCCTCCCGGCATTTTTCTTACTCCTTTCAATGAGGCACCTCTCAGAGATGGTGGGTTCTTTGCCCAGCTAGGAAGCGAGGGGGCTCTGGCTTCAACGGCAGCTTTCAGATCCTTCTCCCCGTCTTGAGAGCAGATGCCTAATCCTGGAAAGGTTTCTGATCTCCTACTAATCGGAGTGTCTGACAGGAGAGCAGTGGACCATTTGCCATTGGCCTGTGACTCCCAACCTGGATGGGAAGACAGTCTCCTTTTCCTCCTCTCCTGCCTTTGTTTATTTTCCCTGCTGCTTTGGTTCCAGACTTTTCCTCCAAGAGCTCCTATCCTTCTCTGCTGGCCTAGGACTCCCCTCTCTTGTGAGAGGCACACACTTCCTGGTGACCTCTCACTGCTGTGTAAGAGGAGTGTGCTTCCCGAGGGCCCGCCTGGAGGTGGCCCAGCAATGCCACCCCATTCAGCATGGGCTAATTTCTCACCCGGGGTTCCTCCAGGCCTGGGCTCAGGGCCAGATTTAAATCTTTCCATGTCCCAAGCACTGAAAACATTTTGGTGCCCCCAGATGTAATTCAAAATACAGTTGGCTATTTGAAATAACATAAGCCTTATGTGCATTCTAAAAATAAAATTGCTTCTTTCTGGATTTTCTGAATGCAAAATTCAGGTATGTGAATTGAAGCTCAAGTTTTCCCATTTTGGTGCTTTGCTCTTGCCCCAGACACCTGCTGAGTGTGTTTGTTGGGAAATCTAGCAGTGCTTGGGCCTCTAGCTGTGAGCAGCTGCTCTCTTCTTCCCTGCAGGGGAGCTTCTTCCGACTCTTCTACCCCTGCCAGGAGTCAGAGGAGACCATGGAGCAGCCCCTGTGGATTCCCCGCTACGAGTACTGCGCTGGCCTGGCCGATTACCTGCAGTTTAATAAGCGCTGGGGGGGTTTGCTCTTCAACATGGCTGTGGGTAAGAGTTGGCCTCACCCCTCGATGCTTTCCCAGCTTCTTGGTTAGGTTCCTAGGAAATCGCCAGGAAGACACAGTACCTTACAGCTTGCTTTGTCCAGCGCTTTTGTAGCGGGACATCCATTAGCCAGCATGGTGTGGAGAGCTGGAGGAGGATTATATAATAAGAGCTTTTATTATAGAGTTAGGTTGTCCTGGATTCGAGTCTAGATGTTATCATTTACTAGCTGTAGGGCTTGGGCAAGTTATGTAACCTGCCTGAATCTGCCTTTGCAGGTTCTAGTCTGGGGTGTATGTAAAGCCTCTAGTGCAGGGGCTGGGACAGAATGTGTTCCATAAATGGTGGCTATTACTCACTTACTTGGCATGTAATTCCCACCCTGCCAGCTGTGTAGATCAGAGAAACATGCCTAACTGCCAGAGAGCGTACTGGCTCCCGCAGTTCCCCCTCCAGCTCTCTTCTCGGGAGGGTCACACTGAATTATCCACTTCCCCCAGTGACCCCACCATGAGGAACTCTACCCACTGTCTTGGCATCTCAGGGATTTACCCCCCTTTCTTCCCATTTGGATTTATCTTCCCGTTTCCTATTGTGTTCATGCTGTCCAGGGAACACAGAAAAGGTGATTGGTTACCCTGGGCTACTCAGGGGTACATGACCATCCTCCAGAAAGGAGGGACATGTGCTCCCACACATGCCTATGCCCAGGCTGCCCTTGGGATGACAGCTTTGGGGCAGCCAGAGATTCTATAGCCCGTGTCTCTGCTAGGATCTTGTCGCCTGCCTGTTAGCTGGAATGGCCCCTTTAAGACAAAGGACTCTGGATACCCTTTGATCATCTTCTCCCATGGCCTGGGAGCCTTCAGGTAAGAGCTCTTTTCCCTTAGACCTTGTCATGTTCCTTGCCTGGTGACAGCTGTTGAGACTTATTCTCAAAGGGCAGAGAAACAGACATTTCCATCTGCCTGCTGTCTTACCTGCCATCTGCCTCATTCCCCGGCCTGGGCTCCACCTTCTCTCGAAGGCCTTGCCCAGGCTCCTTTCACCTGGTGGAGCCTTTCAGCGGGCTCCACACCCTTCGCCTCTCATGTTCCAGCATTTATATAAGTTAATACTTCTGGTTTTCTTCCAACATAACAGCACAGAACTATTAGAAGGAGTTTGAGCTTTATAGTCAGATAGTCATTTATTCCACAGATGTTGAAGGATGACTGCACTGAATGAGAGGGGCTCACTTCCTGCCCTCCGGGAGCTCTCAGCCTCCCCTTCAAGTCGCAGCCAGACCAGCTGTGCTCTGTGTGAGCTTGGGCAGCTGTAGAACTCCGAGCCTAGGTTTCTTCACCTGTCAAATGGGGACAGACGCTGCTCCCACAGGGCGGTCTGTGCGGATTCAGTTGGACTGACCAGTAGGAGCACACACACAATTCTCTTCGTTTCTAGCGGGAGGAGCATGGGCTGGTGAACTGTAGGGTCCCTGTTACCAGACTTCAGAGACTCTTTAGTGTTTGTAAGCTCCATGAAGACAGAGACCATGCCTGTCTTCTCTCTCTCCCAGTGCCTAGGGCAGTACCTGGACAGTAGTTGTTTCCCAGTAAATATTTATTGAATGAATACAACAGCTATGTTTTTCTAGGTTCTCATTCATTCAGAAAATATCTGTTGAGCACCTGCTCTGTGCTAGCCTCTTGGCCTGAGAGGAAGGTGAGACATACAGAATAAAAAGGAATTCCCATTCACTAGAGGAGCCTGAATACGGACTCACATGACTGTAGCCTATGGCAGGAAGTGGAGAGTTGATGTGAGATGAGGGTAGAAAGACAAGTAGATGGTTTTCCATATTGCTTTCTTAGTCAATAAATTGAGTATCTGCTGTGTGCCAGGACCTTTGCTGGGATTGAGTACTCAGTAGTGAATAAGATAGAGCACCTGCCCTCAGAAAGATAGTCTAGTGGGGAAAGAAGCTAAGAAACATTCTCTCCCACGTTCACAGGTATTTCATATAGTCAGCAGGCAAGCACATGACTTTGGAGAGTGATCTTGGTCTCAATCTGTATTGAGCCTTCACACCTCAGTAGACCTGTGAGCCCGTTATAAATAAACTAGAGGCCCGTTGCACGAAAAGATTCGTGCAATAGGCCTTCCCTTCCCCTGGCTGTCGGCACCGGTTTTCCTCCGGCACCCGAGACCCAGGCCTTTGCTCTGGCCAGAGCTGCCTTCAAGCCTTCGCTGCTTTGGCCGGAGCCACCTTTAAGCTTTCGCTGCTCTGGCTGGAGCCGCCTTCAGTCTTCGCTCCACAGCTTCGCGCCTATGTATGCAAAGTAACCGCCATCTTTGTTGGCGGTTAATTTGCATATCTCACTGATTAACCTGTGGGGGTGTAGCAAAGGTACGGTCAATTACCATGTTTGTCTATTATTAGATAGGATGCTCTTCATTAACCGGAGCAAAATTCCAAGAAAAGGGAGGGGGAGGAAGAGACATGATTTCCTTTTGTAGTTTCTGTGGTTGATTCAGGCTCTGAAACCCTTCCCACGCTCCATAGACTCATGGTTTCCCATCCCAGGGCAGGGTATGTGCTTTAAACACTGAACATTTGCAATGTGCCATTGTCTCATTTGGGGCAGGCCGGGGAGGGTGCATATTTTACAGAAGAGCAGAAGGCTCTGGAAGGCATACGTGCCCAAGAGAAAGGGATCAGAAATCTCTCCGGCTCTTATGCTCATTGCCTCCCAAAAGAAAAAGAAACTTAAGAAACTGACCTCCCTGAATCAGTTGGGATATGGGGAAGTTGTATTTAACAGAAAACCGCCATATCCTAACTGATAATAGTGACCTAAACGACATTGATTTCTTTTGCAGATAAAAGGAAGCTAGAAGTAGACGGCTGATGTGGTAGTTCCATGCAGTTATCAGAGAAGCAGGCTTCTTTAATCATCTTATTCTGCCATGGTGGCTTCCATTTCTGAAGATATCTCATGACCCAGGGTGGCTGGTTTAGCTCTAGACATTACATCAATATTTCAGGCAATAGGAAGGGAGCACTCTTCTTTTTGAGATTTCCTGAAGTATAACACAGCTGTTTGCCTCCCACTGAGCAAAACTGGCTAGGGCTTTAAATTTTGATTATATGTTGAAGTGATCATGTTTGGCTGTATTGGGTTACATATATTATTAAAATTAATTCTACCTGTTTCTTTTTACTTTTAAAATTTTTGAATTACTCAGTGTAGTATTATATTTCTTTTTGTTTTTAATATTTTTTTTATTGATTTCAGAGAGGAAGGGAGAGGGAGAGAGAGTTAGAAACATCAATGATGAGAGAGAGAATCATTGATTGGCCTGCCCTACGCCAGAGATCCACCGATAACCTGGGCATATGGCCTGACCAGAATGGGAATCAAACCGTGACCTCCTGGTTCATAGGTCGATGCTCAACCACTGAGCCATGCCAACTGGGCCAGTATTGTATTTTTTTTGCTGGACTAGAATTTAATCACATACAAACCTGGTTGTAGAGGAGGCTGGTAAATGTCATATTTTGATGGCATGACAGTGTCTTTAGCTGAACATTAGATTTTTTCAAGGAGGAAGAAGGTGTTTGGAGTGGGCAGTTAGCAGTGTCTGCTTTATTCTTTTTTTCTGTAAAGCTGGAGGACAGACAAAAATTCCACGTGCTAAATCACAGATTCGGATTTGCATATTAAAGAAATAGCCCTTGTCCTCAAGGTGCTTACGAATTAATTTGGGAGACATACAATATAACAATAAAAATGCAATTGTTGAAGTAGCCGAACTGTATTGGGGATGGTGTGGGATGGTGTGTGTGTGTGTGTGTGTGTGTGTGTGTGTGTGTGTGTGTGTATAGGGTCGGAAAACACCATGGATTGATTTGCACGTGCTTCCTAGCAGAGGACTCTGGGGGCTGTGGTGAGAGCAGGGATATTCTGGCTGGAGAAAGCACCGTGAAAAGGGCTGCTACAAATGGAACTTCCTCCCTTCAGTCTTTTGAGATGGTCACTAGCAGAGAATAGTTAGAATGAGGGCTAAGGGTGGGCCATTTTTCTGATCACTTTTCTTTTCCTTCCTGAATCTCTAGGACACTATATTCAGCCTTCTGCATGGAGCTGGCCTCCCACGGCTTTGTGGTGGCTGTGCCAGAGCACAGGTGAGAAATGGCAGTCACAGTGAACTGTCGTGGATCGGGTGCCTGCACTGGGCTAGGATATAGGTTAGTCCCCTAATCCTCACAACAACTATGCAAGTATCAGATCCATTTTAAAGGTGAGGAAACCAAGGTTCAAAAATGTTAAATAGCCTGGCCGGTGTGGCTCAGTGGTTGAGCATTTACCTATGAACCAGGAGGTTGCGGTTCAATTCCCAGTCAGAGCACATGTCCCGGTTGTGGGCTTGATCCTCAATGGAGGGTGTGCAGGAGGCAGCCGATCAATGATTCTCTCTCATCATTGATGTTTCTGTCTCTCCCTCTCCCTTCCTCTCTGAAATAATTTTTAAAATACACTTAAATTAGTGGTAGTAAAGCTTTAAAAAAAAAAGAAAAGATGTTAAATAATTTGTTGAAAGTGACACAGCTGAGTTAGGGTTCAAACTCAAAATCCATGTTTTTTCTACTCTCCTATGCATGCCCTTAGATTTTTCCCCCTAGCAGCTGAAGGGTGATCCAGAGAGTCTTGGGTGAAAAGGAGGACTTGGTAAAGGGGAGAAATAAGCTCAAGAGTGTCTTCGTGTTTCTTTCTGGTGACATGTGTATTTCAGGGATGGGTCAGCTGCCACCACCTGTATCTGCAAGCAGGTCCCAGAAGAGAAGCAGCCCTCGAATGAGTTTCTGGAGGAGGAATGGATTCCCTACCGTCCAATTAAGGAAGGGGAGAAGGAATTTTGTGTTCGGAATTGCCAGGTAGGCTTGTGCCAATTAGGGAAGAAGAATTAATAAGCCTGTCCTCCCTGTACTACATTCACCAAGAAGACTTATCTAAATTTCTCTTGAAATCTCAGGCGTAGTGAGTCTGAGCTTGCCACATCAATAGGAGAAATTGGGTACTAATCAAGACTGTTGATAATTGCAAGTGACAGAAACCCAACTTATGCTTTCTGGGCAAAAAGGAGAATAGATAAGCTTATGTAAGTGGACATATACGATGGGCAAGACCACTGGAACCAGCCTCAAATGCCATCAGGACTAGTCTTTCATTCTCATCCCTGTGTCCTCTGCTGGTTGGTCTCATCTGCAAACTGACTTACTTTATGAAGTTAGAGCCACAGTTTTGACAGCTCTGAGCTTGCATATGTTTGACCTCGCCATCTGAGAGAATGGGACTATTTGAGGTTGCTCCCTCAGTCCCTACCCCTGCCCCAAGCTTCAGTAGGAAAAATCCTGGAGAGAGACTCCTAGGCTGGGAGAAGTACCAAAGTAGGAAGTTCCCATCAGAAAAACACTGTTAGATTTTTTTTTTTTTTTTGCAGGGTGGGGGGCAATCCTCAAAGGTAGGGTTAACAGAAGTGGAGCTGGTAAGTGCTAGGCAGACAGAAACAGTAGATGTGGGCAATAAATGACAAGTAGAATCCAGTACTGGATTGATAATAACAGCACCCTTATGTGCTTTTGTTTTCAAAGCACTTTCATATACATGTCTTATTTGGGCCTCCTGACAACCCCAAGGGTATGTAGACAGAGTGTGAATAGCAGGTCAGACACTATTGAACCATTAGGTCAGGGTTGGGAACCTTTTTTCTGCCAAGGGCCATTTGGGTATTTGTAACATCATTCACAGGCCATACAATGTTATCAACTTAAAAATTAGCCTGCTGTATTTGGTCAAACATTTAATTAACTCACCCCTAAGGCCTTGGCAGGACCAGACCAAATGATTCTCAGGCCTTATGTGGCCAGGAGCCAGACATTTACCACCCCTGCATTAGGTGATGCTATGTGAGCTGCTAAGAAGGAGCTGAGCCTTTCTCAGCATGTGGGGCCCACAGGGCTTACTGAGACAAGGGCGAGCAAACTCTCCCTGCATTCTTCCTTGGCTCTGTAGGGGAGTGAGTTTCTTGCTAGATGGTTTGTGCAGTGTTCCCAGCTCCCACTGGGACTGTCTCTGTTGCAGGTGTATCAGCGGGTAGATGAGTGTACTCGAGTGTTGAAGATCCTGCAAAAGGTCACTGCTGGGCAGACTGTCCTCAACATCTTGCCTGGTGGGTTGGATCTGATGACCCTGAAGGTAGGACAGCAACTGGTATGACCTGAGCGCATGTATTCATCAGGACTTTCTTGGTTACACATAACAGGAACTTACCTAACTTACCAACTTAAACCAAAAGAGAATTTACTGGCTCGAATAACTACAAAGACCAAAGGCAGACTGGCTTTGAGCCGTGTAGTTAGATCTAGTGTCTCAAACGTGGCCATCAAAGCTCTGTCACTCCTCCTCCTGTCTCAGTTCCACTCCGTGTATGTGGGCTTCATTAGGCAAGAAAGGTAGTTGCTGGTAGCCCAAGCCTGCATTTCAGCTCAGCTCCAGATTTGAAAGGAAAAGAGACTCTGTTAGCTTCCACTAATCTGGGGAAGGCTGTAGCCCTGCTTGAGTCACATGCCCCACTGGGCCAATCACTGTGCCAGAGGGATAGGATAATCTGATTGGCCTGCCTAGGTTACACACCCACTCTGACAGCCCCACAGAGCCACGTGGATGAGGGAGAGATGGTCCCTTCCCCAAAGGAAGGGCTGTCCGGCAGCAGCAAGTCCCATGTTCCCTGTAGGCTAACTCCTTTCTTTGAGGGAACCCCCAGAATCCCCAAGAGGATAGAAACTGCCCTGGCTGTTTGGTGCCTATTAGATACATTTTTCACCCCCACCCAGTTCTTTTTCTCCCTAATTTCAAAAGTAGCTCAAGCACTAGAGAACTAAGAAATCACACAAAAGCATAAAGAAAAAAGAAACAGAATTTTTTTTGACATTTTGATGTTTGTCCTTTCAGTTCTTTTAATGCATTACACACACACACACACACACACACACACACATTTGTACATATATCTACACTAATAAAAGAGAAACATGGTAATTAGCGTACGACCACTACCCTTCCCATTGGCTAATCAGCATATCCTTATGCAAATTAACTGTCAGCCAAGATGGCGGCCGGCAGCCATGCACTGAAGTGAACAGGGAGGCTTGCTTGCTCCAGTGATGGCAGACTCCAACGTTCCCCGCCTGACTTGCCAGCCTTTCAGCTGCAACTCTAAGCAACTATGTTGCAAATATAGAAGCTAAACAAAACCCTAGAAACCGGCTTTCAGTCAGCCAGGCTTCAGTCAGCCGGACCGCAACATTGTATCAAATACAGAAGGTAAAGGCCAGAAACCTGCTTTCAGCAGCGAGGCCTCAGAGCTAAAGCTGGCCCAGAATAGAAAAAAAAAAAAAAAAAAAAAAGGAGCAGTTGGGAGCTTCAGTCACCCGCCAGCCTGAAAACGGCCCTCAGCCCCTCAGCCAGACTGGCCAGGCACCCCCAGTGGGGACCCCCACCCTGATCCAGGACACCCTTCAGGGCAAACCAGCCGGCCCCCAAAGGTAATATGCCTCCCAGCACCAGGATCAGCGGAGCAGCGAGGCTCCCGGCACCGGGATCAGCGTGACAGGGGCAGCGCCAAACCCCCTGATCGCCCTGCAGGCTCTGTGTGTGACAGGGGCAGGGCCACAACCTCCCTATCTTCC